TCTTAAGTGAATAATTTTCTTAAGTTAGACCTCTGTAAAGATTATAATTGTGTAATTATAATTAAACAAGTTTAACACTCTTGGCAAAATTCTCATAAATGAATTTTTATCAGATCGAGGTCTTTAAAGATTATAAATAATTGTGTGGTAAAAATTAAGCTTAACAGGTTTAACACTCTCCTTCAGTTTTATTGGCTTCTATGTGAGCATGTTGGCTGACTGATTATGAAGATGACTGCTCACATGTGGTTCAGCACCTAAAACATACATGTTTTGAATTCTGATTTCTCTACCCGGTTATGTCGAGTAATCTTTGGGCAATTACAGAGCGCCTGCTCCTTCTGAGTTTCTGTTACTTTACCTTCTCAAGATAATGATTATTCTGCTACCCATTTCACTCAAAAATATGTAATATATTCATTAAATAATGTATTTGCATAAGAAGCAGAAGATGAAGAGCATGTAAAGATTCATATCTACAAACAGGAAATAGTACTGGTCTAGGAGCTGGGTAGTGGTCACTCTGGCAGTGAGATCCTCCTCCAGTGACAGTGACTGCACCCTAGCAAGCCTGGAGCCGCAGGAGCAGACCCGCCTTGCAGCCGGCCACCTGTTGCCTTCCAGACTGGCTCAAATAACTAATACCCACGGCCTCCAGTTCTCCATGCTGGGATTCTTGGCATGCCCATTTGAAAGTTTTCTCATTTGTGGTGGGATTTTCAATTTTTCTTTTAATTAAAAAGCAAATATGATTTTTGGAGAAAATGTGGGAAGTACAGAAAAGCACAAAGGATGATTCAGTGACACAGTTCACATTTTGGTATATAGATATCAAATCTTTTTTCAGTTCATATCTAATTTTTTAAATTAATATCATACAGAGCATATGACTTCATAACAGTAAAAATAAAAAGAGCTAAAAATAAGCTCAATAAGCTAAAAATACCAAACATTTTTCTGTGGTATCAAGTATTTTCTGCTACATAATTTCTAATGACTCTATAGGTGTCCATAGTGGAAATCATAATTTAATAAATCAAAGGGTTTAGAAAAAAATCTGTAGTCAAGCAGCTGAAGCCATCCCTTTAAGGTTATTGTAACACATAAAAACCTTCCACCAAGCTCTCTGACACACACAAATCCTCAAAGGAATGATTTTTTGTGTGAAATGATTATAGCTGTCAATCAGTTATTCTCCATGTCATGGTTTCTGTGCTCTTACCAGGTTGCTAAGGGGTGATTTTGGAGTCCTGTCAAATGAGATGTCTGCTATGTATTCAACATGAGGCAGTTTGTATTTTTCTCAGTCTGTTGCTCTCCCATCTGAGGAGGTTAAGCAAATCTCAGTGAGCCACAGGGAAACGGGATAGGCAGCTAGCGCTGGAAGCACACCGCAGACATGCCCAGGGCCCCATAATCCCCACACAAATAGATTAGACTTCTACATAAATACACTTGTCTTGATTGTCACATTCTACCCAGGGTTACACCTACATGCATAAAGATGGCTCCAAGCCAGGTTTTCAAAGCTGTCTTACTCCCCCGTTGCTTTTTAACTACCCAGCTCAAAGGCATTTTTTTGTGTTCTAACTATCAAAGATGATTAAGGGGCTGGAAGAGCTGATATATAAGGGCAGATTAAGAAAACTAAATATTTACAGACCCAGCTCAAAGGCATTTTTTTGTGTTCTAACTATCAAAGATGATTAAGGGGCTGGAAGAGTTGATATATAAGGGCAGATTAAGAAAACTAAATATTTACAGTCTGACTGAGTGACAGCCGAGGGGAAGATATCATAAATGTGTTCTGGGCTTAAATCACGGAGGAGACATTGTTCTGCTTTTCTCAGTAACTAGATTTTAGGGACATCTACATTCAGAGAAAGTTTTCTGAGGATGACATCATTTATGCTAATTAGGTAATTGTGTCAGTTAGGAATTGCATTTAGTGGCCAGTTACAGAAACTTGAAAGAGCAGTGGCTTACACAAATGGAGTTTCATTTTCTCTCCTATGACATGAAGCCCAGAAGCATGTCTGGGACTGCATTGTAGCTCCACGATGGCTTCAGTGTGTCACTGCCCTCCTATCATCTGGTTCCACTGTTCTCAGCACTGGCTTCCATACTCAAGGGCAGCTGATGTTTGAGAATGGCTGCAGCAATGTCAGTTGCTATGGTTTGAATGTTTGTCCCCTGCAAAGCTCTTGTTGAAATTTAATTGCCGTTGCAATATTAAGAGGTGGGACCTTTAAGAAGTGCTTAGGCCATGAGGGCTCTGCCTTCATGGGTGGGATTAATGCCATTATAAAAGGGTGAGTTAGGCCCCCTCATCTTTCTTTGCCCTTCCATCTTCTGCCATTTATGATGCAACAAGAAGGCTCTTGCCAGATGTCAGCACCTTGATATTGGACTTTCCAGCCTCCAGAGCTGTGAGCCAATGAATGTCTGTTCTTTGTAAATTACCCAGTCTGTGGTTTCTGTTATAGCAGCATAAAGCATACTGAGACAGCTGCATTCCAGAACAGGAGAAGACAAAAGAGGTTCCTGCCATCTAAGATTGCTCGAGCTTTCTTGGAAGCCTGTTATAGCAGCATAAAGCATACTGAGACAGCTGCATTCCAGAACAGGAGAAGACAAAAGAGGTCCCTGCCATCTAAGATTGCTCGAGCTTTCTTGGAAGCCTGTCTGCTGATTTCAGTTTTCGTATCATTGGCTACTACATCTGCAAGGAGGGCTGGGAAACTTATAGGAGTTTTTTGTTTTGTTTTTAAGTTGGGCACATTGCTGACTGCAGTGATACAAGGTTCCTTTTACCTGGATGGTAACTTGGGACAATAAGTACTGGATAGGCAACTGGTGATTTCTGTCATAATGATTTACCTCATGAAGTCTCTGACAAAAATCTGGACTGTGAGACACAGTGACATATGCTATGGTGTTACAAGTTTCCATTTGTAAAACTAGCCCTTGAGATCTAAATTATTTCCTTCTACTCACTCTTACCTATTTAAATTTATTCATCATCACATACCTTGGTTTGATGCTAAATAAACCAGCCATCTCAACAGACCTAAGAATAATAATAGCTACAACTCACTAGGTTTTACCAAAAATTCCATGCACTGTGTTATGCAGTTAAAAGTATCACCTGAATGATTTACTTCAAAATACTGGAGGGAGAGGGGATAAGGACAGATGAACTAAGACTCGCCATGGGTTGCTAATAGTTGAGGTTGGGAGATGGACACATGGGGATTTGTTATAATGTTCTTTCTACTTTTGTAACTATCAAAATTTCCCCAATAAAAAGTTTTGAAAATCACCTCATCTAATCCTTACATTATTTCATGTAGGGTCGGTCTGTACTATTTATTACCCCTAGATAACAATGCTCAAGGAAGTTAAGCAGCATCACACAGCAAGTAAGTGGTGGATTCAGGATTCAAACCCAGGTTTATCTGAGTTTGAAACCTGTGCTCTAACCTTTCCTATTCAAAGACAAAATGCTTCTCAGACAAGTAGCTGGGCTTCATCTGGAAACTAGTTAGAAATGCAGAATTTGGGGCCACACCCCAAGACCCCCATGTAAGATTTATATGCACACTCAAGTTGCAAGTGCATAGTCCACTGGTCTTCACTGCCTCTGTCGCCATGACTTACCCAAATCAGTCAATCAGTTGTCACTTTTCCTTAAAAAAAAAAAAAAAAAAAAAGTTACCTCTATTGAAATAAGAAACTAATCACTAGTCACTACTTTTGTAACTTAAACATTTTAATAAGCATTTAATTCACAGCAGTTGTTTCTTTCAACATTGTGCACCTGTTGTAGAGCTGGGCACTAAATACCTGTGTGTCAGTTAAGACATCTTTCTGACTGTATGTCAGCTGTTATTAAGCACTGCTTACTTGAAAGTGAATTTGGCTTGTTCTGCTTAAATAAAGCCCTTGCTTTTTCTCACTTAAGGTGTTTTGAGCTTTAAAAGCCTTGGGACATAAGGAAAACTGCCCAGGTGCCTATTGGAGTCCCCTCCAGCATCACTCTGTTTGTGTAACTCTGTGTGTAACTTTTCCAAAAAGACATGATTTTTCTCCCTGCTGCCCTCAGTCATCTGTTCTCATTTCAGCTGTCTCTCTTTTTGAAAGAAAGAGAGCTATGGGAATTAGGCAGCCTGAGTCCCACTTTGCCACTCATGTGTCATGTAGGCAAAACGGTTAACTTACTGAGCCTCCGTTTCTTCACCTCTGCAGTGGCTGCACCGTATGGTCTCTGGGGTCCCTTCCAACTCCACCCTTTGTCACCCCATGTAACTTGACTTTTCAACCCCCAAAAAACATTTTGCAGACACTGGGGCTTTGTGTATAACCCATCTGATAATATTTTTCCAGTCAGTAAAAGGATCCCTGCATTGATCTTTCTTGGTTTCTCCTTTCAAATGATTGATGCCTTAATGCATATAGTTTATTTCCTCAGATCCTTTTTAGAACAAGTAAATAAATGAATATCTGAATGAAGCCTGTCATCCATCTCAGCTGTAACCTGTTCTCTTAAAGAGAGAGCTTTTGAACATTTAAAAAAAATTGTCTAGCTGCCAGATTAACTTGGTTGTTTTATTTTTATTACAATAAACTTCAAACCATGTACATATTTAACATTCTAAGCTATTCATCAACTTCCATAGCAGGAGAAGAGGTGAGGAAAAAACCCACAAGAGAGCGGCATTGAAGCCGTCCCCAGGGACCAGCACTGTGTAAGTCAGGCCCATACCGGTTCCTGTTGAAGGTACAACCATTGAAATCACTTTTTTCTTCCAAGAACTGTTACTTATCAGAATAATTTTAAGGAGGCCTATGATAGTTTTCTAACAAAGGTAAACCTAGGAGAGCAAGCATGCTATAAAATAGCAATTACTGCAGTCACTGTGCTAGGCATGCCTTGAAAGCGTTGGCCACTCTACCTTTTCCATGCTGTATGTGAAGTGTGTTTCTGATTTGTTTTCCAGGGCAGCCTTTGGCAAGGAGTCTGAAGTTCTTATTGGGAACCTGGGTGACAAATTAATCCCTCCACAAGACATCCTTCGTGATGTCAGTGACCTCAAAGCTTTGGCCAACATGCATGAAAGCCTGGAATGGCTGGCAGGCCGAACAAAGTCAGCTTTCTCCAGTCTTTCTACATCTCAGAGTAAGTATCTAACGTGGCTGCTGTTGTTGCGACAACTGAGGAATTAGACTGAGTACTTTCATTTGAAATGTCAGTGTGGTCTGTGGCCGTACCACCCCAAACATGCCCTCCTATGGGGGCATACCCCAAGTTGTCAGAAGTGTTAGATTCTGCTTGTGCTGCACCTCTCCTACTTTGTGATTCTGGGAAAGGAACTAATCTTGGTTTCCCCATGTGGGGTGTAGGAAGCCAGAAAAGGTCTGTGCTAACATAGCTTGATATTAAACCTTAGAAACATAAAACCGTGCAGATTGAATCACTGTGTCTCAAGAACATGAAGCTGTACCTTTTGTCCTCCTTACAACAACTTCTCAAGGGCAGAAACTTAACATAGCTTGATATTAAACCTTAGAAACATAAAACCGTGCAGATTGAATCACTGCGTCTCAAGAACATGAAGCTGTACCTTTTGTCCTCCTTACAACAACTTCTCAAGGGCAGAAACTGTCTCAGAGCTCAGGGCTGAGTGCCCAGCTGAAGTTCTCATTTGAACTTGATATAAAGCTAATAAAAAGTGTCTAAAAAGAGAATCATAGAAGTGCTTAAGGTGCTAGAAAACAGAGATAATGAAGACAACAATTATTCTGGAAAAGAGATGGTTGAGAGATAATTATAGATTTCAAGGAAATTAAGGAATAGGATATAAAATAAGAATGGGAAACTTCTTTTTCTATCAAGGACCAATGACTCAGAGAAAAATAATTTGAAAACTTTAGGGCACATAAATTTTTATAACTGTAAAGTAAATGATTTTTAAAGCATTACTTCAGGAGTATGCAATTAAAATAGAAGCAAAGGATAAAATGATGTGAAGAAGGAATAAAGAAAAGGCAGATTGACATGCATGAATGGAATGATGGAAATTGGATAGAAAAAAAAGCAAACAAACGAACAAACAAAAAAACCCAAAAACACAGCAGGAAGAAGAAAGAAACAAAATCAGCCCTAAATTTGATAGTAGGGTTAACTGTTAGCCAATTATTAGAAAGGAAGTGCTTACCATATTTGGACTGTGCACTTCAGAGTGAGTTATTTATTTTCACTGTCCTTTGGGAAGTTATTGTTACTTGATTAATCATGTTTCCAGCCTAGAGGTGGGAAAGGTGTGGATGAAATTTGCAGGGGTAAATTATTCCCTGAAATACAGGTCCCATATCCAGAGATCAGGGAATCCCTTGAATGCTCACTACATACACAGTCATGACACAGTCTCATGATGATCACATACCTATCCTGAGGGCCATCACAGGGTGAGGAGAAGGGATGGAAGGAGCGGGCTTCTGGGGACGATAATAACATCTGCTTTAGAAATCTTCAAATATTAGTTTTTAATTATACTTTTATTTGTATACCTTTTACTTAAAATACTTTTTATCTAATGATAAAATTATACTTGTTTATTCTCAGAAATCTATAAGAATAGAAATGTATCCACCTATTAAAGATATTCTGGGTATAGTATTGCATTTAAGCAGACTCTACATAAGTAGGTATCCTTGAGAGGCCCTTTCAACTTTGTAATCCCATAATATGAAGCAATTATATTACAAGAAGATATTTAAATTATCCATTTTATCTCCTAATCCCACTCTGCTCTCCCCCACCCCAAAATCAGAAAGATATCATTTTCTCTTTGTGAATTGCAAAATGAACAGCTCTGAAAAGGGACTAGATGCCTCTTTTTCTGGTTTTCTTCGACTCTTGCAAATGCAGGGCTGCTTGGGTAGATTTATGAGTGACGTTTGGAAGGGGTCCTCTCATTTGGTGGGCCATCACTGTCTAATGTTTAATAGTATAGTCTCTTATTTCTAATGGCACAGCATTCCAGATTTTTATTCTGTTCATTCTAAAATGGCTTCACAAGACAGGATAGTACGTAACCTCTATGGCAAGCCACTGCATGATTCCCACAGGCTAACCTGGCATCAACTGTTTTCAAAAGGGGAAGGATACTTTCTGAGTTATGCTTAACTTTGTAATTGCATGATTTAGCTGTTATGTTCATGTCACTAAGACTACCCAGTACAGTTGATGTCTAATTCATGTCTGCAATCATCTCTGTTATTCTGACAAAGATCTCTTTTACCACACCCATTAATACTTTGTCTCATGTGCTCAGTTCCATTTTATAAGTTGTACCATCTCAGTTCCTTTTGGGGTTATTATTCTGCCCAGTGAGTGATTTAAGTGACTGTCAGCATTTTGATGATCAGTGCAAAACCGAACTGAACTGTAATCACTACTTATGGTGTCTTTGCTAAAATGAAGCACCAAGCAAATCTGGTTCATCCTGTGAACAATAAGCCTAGCTCACCCACACTTGCCTGCGCTTGGATTCCCAGAAGAGATGCCCACCGATGTTTATAATTTGAACAAATTAGGGTATTCTCTGATCGAAGGGTTACTTTGATTGCTCCATGTCAGTGCGATTCTAGAAAGGGAATCAGGGACAGCTCTTTATTATTCTTTTGAGAAATGAAACACATGATTACTGCAACAAAAGTGTTTCCAAGTCCAGAGACTAGATAGCATGGGGAAAATGCCGGCCTTTTCCCCCACACTCATGGATACTCATCAGGATGGGAAGAAATCAAGATAAGAGGATTTTAGGTTTATATCTCATTCCACAGCCTGTTAACTATTTGTTGTGGTAAATGCCACACTTGACTCCTTAAACTTGAGAAGCTGTTAATGTAATGGAGTGGAGGAAGTTTGCAGAAAATTATTTTCATAGTAGAATATCTCTTCACACAGCAGAGTAGGATTTCCATCCACCTGAAACATTTCACATCACCCAGAAGAAAGTATTGGCAGGGCATGGTCGGTCATATATTGTCCAGGAGATTAGAATTGGTGATTATTTCAAAGGTAATTTTTCCATCGCTTTTAGTATTTATCTAAATGTCATTCTATCTCCTTTACACTTAAAAGGGTCTCCTCACATCACCTAAGTCCTAACTACACCAAAGGTACTGCTGTTACTTTTTTCCTAGCATGGTCCATGGTTCCTGATCCATCTCTTCTGGCATTCCCCCCACAATCTTCCCTATACCTATTCTACTTAAGATTCTTCCAGCTAAAAGTCATAGACTAATTGGAGGAAAAAGAATGCATTGACTCATAAAATTGATAAATGAAAGGGCTTCAGGTGTGGCTGGATCTAGAGGTTCACAGATACACAGGTCGCAGACATATTTACACATTACTCTCTCTCTCTTCCAACTCAATGTCTATCTCCCACTCCCATCTCTAGAATACCTCTGTGCACAGGATCTGTTTTAACAGACATGCTTTGAGTGCAAGGAAGTTGAGCAGGATCATATTTAACATTAGGCATTCAGGATAAAAGTTTATACATATTTGCACCCATTGATCACAATTTCAACCTTTTAGTAAAGGAATGAAACAGTATCTGCTCTTTGTAATACCTGTTGTTTGTAGGAATCCTAAATAAAGACTCTGAAATTGTTATGGTTAAGAAAATTCTCAAAATGGAACTACATAAAAATTGTCAGAGTATATTCCAATCTAACATTAATGACTTTCTTTTGTATCTTATCCTTCTGTTTTAAGGATGAATCACTTTTAAAAATAGACTACATAAAACTAGAATGAGGCTCAAGGGCTGATTTTGTCCTTCCTCAGGCAGGTCCTCCTCTCTATCTGGGATTCTGTAAAAATCTCTAGGATTAGAGATTCTACAACTTCCTTGATTGTGTATTCTGTTCTTTACCATCTAGGAGGTCATCTTTCTTTTTTTATTAAAGCTTCCTTACTCCAGTCTAAACCTCTTTCCTCTGTTGTGTTCTCTTCAGAAATGTAATAATGATTATTAGTAATACAGTTATTTACTGAATTACTTCTTCCTTAAAGTAGAATTATTGCAGTATTAGTAATACAATTATTTATATACTTCTTTCTTAAAGTAGGATTATTGTCAGGAATCTTAGAAATCATCTGGTCCAACTCAGTTATTTTGCACAAGAGGAAGTTAAGGCCTCATAGACACTAAATGTCTTTGCCAAACTGGGATGGAGCAAATCTTCAAGTTCCCAGTTTAATTTTCTCTCTAATACATCATTATCTTGACCAGTACCAAGATTAGAGCCACTGACTGGACCTTTCATGCCATATTTCTATTAAATCATTCCAGGATGGTGGTCATATTTTATTTCAATGGAAGCACTTAATGCCTACAGTTAACTTGTGATAATTTCCAACCATTTTCTTGTGCCTAAATATAATTTCTATGCCTTAAATATATGGGATTATTGCAATTATCCTTTTAAAATTTCGTCTTAGTTGTAATAAAACATTTCTCTAATTTTCCACTCTCTATTTTTGTTCTGCAGGTATTTTCTAAGTTAGAAACTTCATCTGTCTTGTAATCCTGTTATTTGATATATTCTAGATATTGTACTGTCCCGTATAGTAGCCGCTAGCCTTGTGTGGCTCTTTAAATTTAAATTAATTAAAGTTAAAAATTCAGTTTTTACGTCCCATTTCAAATGCTCAGTGGCTACTGTGTTGGACAGCACAGATACAGAACATTTTTATTGTCACAAAGTTCTACTGGACAATGCTGTAGATCATCACCCAGGTCATTGATAAAGGTCAAAATAATGTCAGTCCATAATTAGCATTTGAAACATACTTCAAATGTCTACCCACTTATATCAAAACATGGATAACTAGTTTAATTGTCCAGCCTCCAAATCATGTTTACCCCCCTGACAGACATGTGCAAGGGTACTTGAAAAAGTTCGTGGAAAAATGGAATTAAAAGACAATACAAATCTTTCCATGAACTTTTTGAAGACCCCTCATGTGTCTTAGAACCACCATTATCTAAGATTTTTCCTACTGATGTTGATTGATACTAAAGAGAAAAGGTTTAATGATCAAATAGACTTGGGAAAGATTAGGGTAAAGAACATTAACAGTAATTCTATAGCATAAAA